TTGATCCTTATCCTGATCGTCATTCTCCGATTATGTCATAAACCACGGACCATCTTCCTTCCACACCCGCCGACCGTCACTACCTTGTTCGAGCCGGCCATCCCTTCGTTATGGCCCTCTCCCCACTCTAGGGGGGAGGAGTTACCGCACACATTGTTGCGGACACGTCGCCGCCCCCCAAACCCCAGCGTATCGGACGAATGGCCATTAACCCGAGCACTGGCTAACAACGCTGAGTTTGGAAACCAGCGGAAATAACAAACCATCATATCAGCTACGCCAAATCTGCCATCTATGCAGATTCTCACCCGAATCTGCCAGATATGCATATTCCCAATCACACCATTCCATTTCCATTTATTCCATTGTATTCCTCAAGTTACTTTTAGTTTTGCACAAGAATAAAGAATTATTATATTTTGACCACAGACAAAGAAGGTTGTCTTTCATTGAAGTTCCATTATTACAAATTATATATTGAAACACATTGGATTCGAATTGAAGAACATTGGATTCTACCCCAGTATATACATATATACTGTTATACTAATTCGCGCGCACACACACAAACACACACATATTCACACACACATGCACACTTGGTCCCCTTATTCAAAGACGTAAAAACTGGAGGAATATACAGTTACATACATACATGTACTTATGTATATATACATATATATATATATATATAAGCCAAAAAAGTATTTTAATATTATATATTAACATCTGTACTTAATGTAAATAGCTAAGTGTAAATATCTTTATATAAATATATGTATGTAAATATTAATATAATAAAATACAAATAAAAACAACAGCAACCAAAAAAAAATGTGTTTTTTTCAAGGCCTTTAAAAATTAAAAATTCACCCCAAAATCAAGAAAATAGATTCTTATATCTCGGGCCAGTTTTCTTAATTCAAGATAGCTTGCCTTTAAATTTAGATAAAAAAAAAGTCGCATTTTAGTGGTCAAATAACCCTAAAACTAAGAAAAATCTTTCTAAATTTAAGAAAAATGTACCTCTTATTACAGAAAATTTTTCACATACTTAGGGCAAGTCGCCCTAAAAACAAAGACATTTTTTCTACATTTAAGAAAAATCGCCTTAAATCTGAGGAAGTTTCTTTCCCGATTCTAGTGAAAATTTTTCTTAAATTTAGGGCGACTCGCCTTTGGAGCCATTTTCAGGGCGAATTTCTAAATCTACGGGCGAACTTTTTAGGGCGATTTCGGGTTATGCGACTTTTTTTCTAAATTTAAGGGCAAGCTTTCTTGAATTAAGAAAAAATGTAGTTACTTTAAGGGCAAGTAACCATTATAATAAGGGAAATTTGCCATCCTTTTAGGGCTTTCACCGATAAAAATAGTCAAATTTTTCTAAATTTAAGGGCAAGCTGCCTTGAATTAAGAAAAGCTGGCCCGAGATATAAGAATATATTTTCTTCTTTTCGGGGTGAATTTTCTATTTTTAAAGGCTAGTCGCCTTGAAGACAAACACAATTTTTTTGTTGCTGTTTTTAATTATATTTTTTATATTTACATACAAATATTTATATAAAGATATTTACATTTATTACATATATAAATAACTAATCTTAAAAATAAAATTTAGGTTTAAACAATTTTTTATATCCCAGCTTGTGCGTTACGGTGGGGGGAATTTGAGATCTTTTAGCTTAACAATTTTTTGCCCTACAGTTCCTAAAAGTTCATAACTTGTGAAGTGGTCATTTAAATTAACTTCCTTTTCATCGCACAAAAAGGATATTTCATTGTAATAGGTACAAATTTCTAAAATTTCGTACACTTGTATATTTGGCAGAAATGTATATACAATCATTTTTTGTTTGTAAATGATATTTTTTTGTTTAATATAAGAATAGCAAGTGACGTTTTCTAAATGTAAAAAAAATGTACCAAGTTCATTTCTATATATAGAACTTGTAGCTAAGCACTTAGACTTGCTTAATATTATGTCTTTAAAATTGAAATTTTGAATAAGGCCTGCAAAATGTAGGGACATTTTTTTGCCAAGGACGTTATTACATTTTTCCGCGAAGTTATATTTTTAGCATAGGTTTTCAATCCTTTGTGCTTGGCCTCAAAAGGAAAAGTCCACAAATCCTTAATTGGCCCTGATTCCTGAATAATGTTATAATAATGTAATAAAAAATGATGTTTTGGCTTGAGATTGTCATTAAATAGAATAGTATATTCTCTGTTGTGATATTTTATTATTTCTTTTAAAAGCTTCAAATCGTTTACTGTATATTCTGAGTATGTTATTATATCAATTAATTTGAGCAGATTTTTAACGAATTTCCAAACATCATCATCGATAGGAACTAAGTCACCGACCATTATTGGGAAGAAAGTTGTAAAGGTAAGCAGCTCACGGGCAGTGGCTTTTATATTACATTTTTTTAAATTATTTAATTGGAAAGGCGGACAAATATTTCCGATTTCAGATGTTCCATATTGAAAATTTGTCTTCCTTAGGTTCAACGTTTCTAAGTCAAATGTTTTTTTACTAATGTAATGCAAAATAATTTTTGAAATATCATATCGTAAAATACCTTCAAATACGTCATGAAGAATATCTACCGAAAAGTTTTTAATGGCTGAAAAGTGAGGGAGTTTGTTGAAGGCACACTCTGATTTTATTCCTGTAAGTGTTACGTCAGATTTTCCTAAGTCCTCTTTGTAATTATCTTCGGTTCGCAATGCTTCAAATTTGACTTCATAAGCTATTGCAGTCTCTACCTTACTCAATTTACAAAACCTACAAAAATAATTGCTAGAAAATGATGTAGTAAAACCTAAAACGCTGTTAAGCCCCAGATTATCCCCCAAAATAAGGCCCAGAACAAAATATAATTTGTGTAGCTCACCGTTAACTGCTACTTCTACCCCATCATTTTCTAGAACTTGTAAGAGCTCTATTAACTTATACAAACACCGTGAGTAGCCTAACGACTTAATATCTGCCGAACAGCGCAAAAAATATTATTATACTCTATTAGAGCTGTGGGAAATGACAAATAAACTCCCTGAATCGGTGCACAATGTGGCCCCAAGGGTTGTTTATCTCGAAGTCATCGAAATATAGGAAATAGGGTAAAAGAATTCCATTAGGTTTATTGAAATTCAACTTCACCTTTTTCCATAAATAGCCATTGACAAAATTGCAAAAGTTTTTTTGGTTTTCTAATAATTGAAGCCTTTTTACGAAACATTCAAGTACCCTTGGCATTTCAAAGAACTGTTTAATGTGAAACTGTAATGGAATAATCGCGCCTTGTGTTTTTTAGACTTTAACGTCATTCTGTTCTTAAATCTCTGCGAACTTACTCTGTCAACTATTGTATTTATTAAAGGGTCTTGATATAAATTCTTTTCTTTCAGAATTTTTAATAATTTATGCTCACTGCTCACAGTTTTGAACGGATTTTGACAAAAATTTAAGATGTGCTCAATATTAAAATTTGAAGAATCTTTTAAATTGGAACGAACTGTTTGTAGTTCCCTTACTAACGGCGTTGTAATGTATTTTTTAATTTCACTTTGCAACTTGAATACGTCTTGACGAGGAATACTTAGTTTTGAGCATAGGGATAGGGTAAACTTTTCGGTGTTATTCATCAAATTTGTACTAGTCGGTTTGCAGTTCAAGGGCACATCTGTACTTAAATTGTTTTCTATTTGGAACTCAGAGATCTCATTTATACTCGATTCGGATGATTGGCTTTGCAAATTTGGGATATTTGTAGAAAATTCAAACACATTATTATTATGGAGGCTATTGCAGTGAATGTTTTTGTTCTGAATATGTTTGTGCAACGATTTAATACTGGAAAATGATTGATTGCACGTTGAAAAACAGCAAGGTAAGTTAATGAGGACACTAAGAGTATGAAATTCTCGCATATGGGAAAGAAAATCCTCGCATTCGGAAAAACTTAAGGAGCAAATTTTACACTTCAGTGCCATTTCAATAAAAAAAAGTAAACTAATAGAGAATTAAAAATAAAAACTTAAATCCTAAACTTCAGTGCCATTTCAATCAAAAAAGTAAACTAATAGAGAATTAAAAATAAAAACTTAAAGCCTAAACTTCAGTGCCATTTCAATCAAAAAAGTAAACTAATAGAGAATTAAAAATAAAAACTTAAAGCCTAAACTTCAGTGCCATTTCAATCAAAAAAGTAAACTAATAGAGAATTAAAAATAAAAACTTAAAGCCTAAACTTCAGTGCCATTTCAATCAAAAAAGTAAACTAATAGAGAATTAAAAATAAAAACTTAAAGCCTAAACTTCAGTGCCATTTCAATCAAAAAAGTAAACTAATAGAGAATTAAAAATAAAAACTTAAAGCCTAAACTTCAGTGCCATTTCAATCAAAAAAGTAAACTAATAGAGAATTAAAAATAAAAACTTAAAGCCTAAACTTCAGTGCCATTTCAATCAAAAAAGTAAACTAATAGAGAATTAAAAATAAAAACTTAAAGCCTAAACTTCAGTGCCATTTCAATCAAAAAAGTAAACTAATAGAGAATTAAAAATAAAAACTTAAATCCTAAACTTCAGTTTTCAATAAAAAAGTAAACTAATAGAGAATTAAAAATAAAAACTTAATAAAAAATAAGAATTCAAAATATATGAAAAAACATTAAGCAACGCTGTTCTTTAATACTAAATTATTAAGGTCATTAAGATGCTCTGAAAGCGCCCTGCTTTTCAAGTCAGTGCTTAAGTCAATTTCATATATTCCTCTTTGAATAAATGTCCAAAATAGTTGGCATTCTTGTGGATACTCGATATTAAAGCAAAATATATCTTGAAGCATATATCTATACTTTTTTGAAAGCTTGGCAAACAATAATAAAATAAAAATTCCAGAAACATAAATGTAAAAATTTGTTAAACTAAAAATACCACTTCCGATGCAGCAAATGAAGGGTTGAAGTTTTGTTCCTTCAGCGTAGCAATTTTCTGTTCGCTCTTTTATGTATGTTTGGAGCTCAGCTACAGAAGGCTTCACCACGATGAACGTATTCCTGGAATCGACGATAGTGTGCTTTGCTGCTGTTTTGTTACCTTCCGTTGTTTTCCCTCTTGTGGTCGGTATTAAAACAGCATGAATGCACATCCATATAATTATTTCCTTTGAAGCTATGTGAAAATTAAAATATATAAATAATTCTTATAATAATATTATAATATGAAAATATATACCTTCTGACTGCAACTCTATGCCACTTAAAAGATTTAAACTTTGTTGTTCTCGGACTTTGGACTTCAGCAAGGGCACGATATTAAACTGAAACGCCTCCCATTTGTCCACAAAATTATGGGTTTTTGAAGGGTATAGCCTGTTAAAATCGTCTTCAATCTTAAAAAATAGTGTCTAAACATGTTACATTTATTATGTTACATTTCAACATTAAATTAAATTACCAGGTCATAACCAAAGGACTCGTTTAGTATCGGGAACTCCTCAAAAACCGTGGCAAGATTTGCTTTCGATTGTATTAAACTGAATCTCCACTGATAAGTTATCCTCCAATAGTTTGCTTCGGGCGTACACAGTTTGCAAGAAAATAGTCCACGATTACACGGCTCAATTCCTTTCTTGTTCGAGCGTTTAGGGTTTTCAGGTCGCGAAAACTATTTAGGATTAGTTTTCCCCTGTCACTCTCGGCAATTATTTTTGTAATTTCCAAATGTGATGTAGTCGACTCTAAAGCAAAACTGTTAGCTGCGGGCTGAGGAAAACCGACTTCATCCTGAAAAAAATAAAGTACAAGCCTTTGAATTTGCGCATCGGAAAAGTGCAACAAGCCACCGGAACTACAAGTGCACCCGCGAAATACTCGGTGTATTTGGCTACTGCGTAAAAGGGTGCGAGTGAGTGTTGTGGCACAATGTCACCCGACACACAAGCGAAGATCGGTCGCAGGTCATTTTTGTATGCATGCAAAATTATGCGTGCGAGCAAGACGGTCTAAGAAAAGAAGGGTGCAAGAAAACACCCAAAAAAAGGTCATATGCGTGTTTTTGTTTTTGCCTGTTTGACGAATCCGAGTTCGACTATAGATACATACATATATGCAATGTATAACTGTACTAATAAGAGTTCGAGACAAAAACACAAGGCCATGGCGTCATAAACACAACGACGCAATTATGCAGCAACACATATATAAGTTAACAACCAACTCCCAGCTTAGGCTGAGCAGGCCAGTTCTTATCTCCTTTATTAATATTAATCATTTATCATGTTTATCATTCTCTAGTATTAATCACTTTTATTATTATTATTATTATCATTACACTTCTCCCTCATGCATGGTCCACCCTAAATTAGGTCGGGTTTATTGGCCCTAAAGCTGAGCCAGCACATTGTGCCATTCCGACCCGTGGCTCCCTCTTATTGGCTGACAGCGATCGTATGACTTCTGCAAAATGTGCAAGGTCAGCGGTCTGCCACGGGCAGCCGGATATGCATGAGCTTTTGTTCAATCTTGAGTTTAGTTTTAATTTGGATTTGAAATAAAGAGCACTTGCTCTATCACAAAACTCCGGCCTTAGCCGTTAAATCATTTTAATTATTGAATTTGGTTATCGTGCCGTAAAGGCCGTGACAACGGAGATAAGTATCTCCCACCGTATACTTCGGAAGAATCAAAGGAGTCGAAGTGACCACCCGACTCCCCAGTGGCTGCCAACCTCGGCGGTCACCAATACTCAACCATCGGCAGTACCATACTGCCAGCCCCTCACGGAAATATTACCTACCGGCTCTACTCCTGCCGCGGAGGATCCGCCAGCCGGACTTGGACAATTAAATAATTGGCGCCCAACGGATTAATATTATTACTAATATTTGAATCCCACCCCTGAAGTTGTACATTATGTAAGTAGCTGAGCGCCGACAATAGCCAAGGTCTACACATACACAACACACAAATACCAGTGCATACAATTTCCTATGCCCAGCAGTAGGAATTTTTTACATATACAGAAAAAGTGACTCGATTTTCGATTTCTGATCCAGATTTTTATGAGTGCGAGGCAAAAATAAATAAAATAAATAACTCAAGTTACGTACACTCGTACTGGCGATTTTTATGTGAATAAATTATTCAAATATTTAATTACAAGGTACTTCCATGTTCTGCGTGTTGATTTAATTCTGTTCGATCTGAATTTTTTAAAGTGCATTATAAATAAAAGAAACCGTAGTTCTCAAATAACGCACACTGGTGCCAAGACAATCAACATTTGTATGAATTAATTATGCAAAGGAATATTTTATTTCTCTGTTAAGGTTGGTCTCTATACGCATTCAGAGGTCCCAGTCGTTTTTCCCCCTGTGGTTTGCTACAAATTTACCCACTGTGCTTATATTGAATTTTGTACCAAAGTTATCCAGTGTGTCTGTGCTAATATTACACCCAGTCGAATTGACCTATACTTGTTGTCACCGTTCTGTATTATAGTTTGTTCTTGGGACAAATTAATCCAACATTTTTGTGTTTTAGGTGACGATCTATTGTTTTTCGCTAATTTTTTCGGCTTCACATCACCAAAGTGGCCCGTTGAAACATCTTGTCTTGAACCCAATCGTTAAAATTCTTGTACGCGTCCTTTTAACTGCCAATGAGTTGGGAGTATAGAGAAGTAAAACAGGAAATTGATAGCGACAATAGCGAAGATAGCGAAGAAGTAGGATTTCGCCCCGAAGTTAGGGACACAGATCAACCAGAAATGAATGCAGAAATGATCCAAGCGCTTGTCGCAAATGCGGTCAGCGCCGCCCTTAACGAACAGGAGGAGCGGTTAAGAAGCGATTTCGCCACAGAATTAGAAGCGGTTAGAACATAGGTTAGCGCGAGTTACGTATAACCCCACTTCACTTCCCGCATATGTCCAAAGCCCAATTTCTTCTTTACCACCTCTTAATAATAAAGTTCAAGAATTGCTTAACTCAATAAATGCTAAATAAACAATATATTAAACAGGAAATGCACAGGTTAACGATCTGGCACATGCCAACCAAAATGAGTTCTAAGAAAATCCAAATAAGCAACATAACACAGTAAACAGGAAATGCATAGTTCATCGATCGTTATTAAATTCAGGCTAACTAAAGGCCAACGATCTGACACATGTAAATCAGAATAATTAATAAGCACTTCTGTAAACCTAAATTAAGTTTTCTTTAAAACATGATGAATAAAGAATAATCAGTTGATTTTTGCCCACCAAACCCGCTGGATGTGTTTTTATTCACGAATAATTTATTTTTTTTAACTTCGCGACTCCCTTTTAACAAAATTGGCGCAGCCGGTAGGATCCTTTTTAATTAAAGAGGGTCCAGTGATTATTCAAATCGAACTTAACGTGAAGAAAAAAAAATATATATATAACAAAAATTTTTGTGAAAAAAAAAAAATACAAAAAGTCAGCGAACAGAAGCGAACTAAAAATCAGTCCGCTAAGTGAACGTGGTGCAGTGCATAGAAAAGTGCATTGATCAAAGCAAAACCGGACCAAGCGGCGCAACAGCATTAAATCCAACTAAAAATCAGTGGATTAACGCCTGTAGAGATCGAACTAAAATCGACTCAGACAGCGCCAAGAAGGAAATCAACTCAACCTGGATATAAGAAGGCAGCGAAGGATCGCTTCATACGACAATAACAGGATGGCTCACGATAACGGCCAAATGCCTCAAGCGGATCTTTTGGAACAATTGGCCATAAGGGAAAGACAGCTGGAGCAACTGCAACAAGCGTATGTACAGCTCCAAGGAAACAACCAAGGAAACAACCCAGCCCAACAAGAGCGGTTGTTCAAAAACATCAATAGTTTGGCAACCTTTACGGGAACCGGGGAAATCTCCATCAACTCCTTCTTCAGTAGCGTGGAGTACCTGTTACAGACGATAGAGGACCCACAACTCAAGAGAGAAGCCACAAGGACAATATTCTACAGGACAATTCAGGGTCAAGCAAAGGATGCAGTAATTAATATCCCGGAGCCGGACAACTGGAACCTGATAAAAGCCACCTTGAAGTTAAGGTACAGACCAGACACGGAGCCGCACCAAATCTACAAGAGGATATGTGACCTGAGAGTGAATTCGGTGAGCGAGCTTGCAGTAGAAATTCAAAATATAAAATATAAAAATGATGAATTAATTGTGTATCATATGAATGATAATTTTATAGATTTAAGTAATGTCGAAAGTTTATTAGTTAACACAGCCAAAGAAATGACACAAGGCACTTTACTAGACAAGATCTACGAAGTCAGAGATTTAAGTACTATATTAAAGATAATGGTGCAACGCAGATATGAGAATAGTTGCATTAGGTATCAGTATAGGAAAGGTAGAACTAATCAAAACAATTACAGGAACAACAACCAAAATACCAATCAACAATATAATCAGCAAAACAATACAATGCAAAATGCATATCAAAATAAGAATACCAATCAACAATATAATCTGCAAAACAATACAATGCAAAATGTACATCAAAATGATCAGAACAACAATTCAAGACAAGTTAGACAGAACAATACCCCTCAGAATTTTAGAGGCAATAACTCCGGACAAAGTAGACGATATCAAAATAATCAGTGGAATCAACAAGCAGGATCACATCAGTCTAGGCAAAATAGGCCAGTAAATGTGGTACCTATGGAGGTAGATAACATAGAAGCCAACCAACACCAAAACAATACCGACCAAAGCAGATACGAAAATGACAACTACAACAGTGACCATAACTTGAACAATAAACATGATAATAATCAAATGGAAAACTACCCACAGGCAGGAGTCAATAATACGGTTTTTTTTACGAAGCCGCCTCGGATGGGTTACCATTAATAGAACTTAACATAGACAAACAGAAATACGTGGCCTTAATAGACACAGGAGCCACCTTGAGTTTAGTTAGCGACCAGATTAACGGTTACAGAAAAATGAGACTAAATACGCCCATACCATACACTACAATTAACAGCAAAGACGTAATAACGTACGAAATTTATACCACAGCCCCAAAAGAATTTAACTTACCAAATAACGCAAGAGTACGATGGAAATTAGCCCCGCTTAAGGGAAGAAAATACAATTTTATCATAGGGATAGACCTCCTAAATTTTTTGAATGCATTTATAAACATTGAGAGGAAGGTTTTAACTTTAAATCAAAAAGAAAACGTAATTATAAACAATCCATATCAATACGAAGAAGTTTCGGTATTAGAAAGTAGCAGTAAAAACTTAGAGAATTTGAAACTCGACCACTTAAATGAAGAAGAAGTCAGAGAAATTAAAGTCATTGTACAAAAATTTAGCAAACTTTTTTTTAAGGAGGGAGACCAACTAACTAGTACGACAGAAATTGAACACGAAATACGGACCAGTACAGAGGAACAGTTAAACTCAAAACTTTATAGATACCCACCACAACACGAGGAAGAAGTTAGGAAACAAATAAAAGAAATGGAAGAACAGGGTATAATCAGAAAAAGTAATTCAAGATACTCTAGCCCACTTATAGTAATCCCGAAAAAGATCGACAACTCAGGAAAGAAAAAGTTTAGGATTGTAATAGACTACAGGAAGTTAAATGAAGTAACCATAGACGACAAATTTCCTATTCCGAACATTAATTCTATTTTGGATAAACTAGGAAGAGCTCAATACTTCACTACAATAGATTTAGCAAAAGGCTACCATCAGATCTTAGTCCGAGAAT